CTCGAGGGCAAGGCCTGGCTTCTACCCCTGTCCCTCCTGGTCTTGCCCGGGCCTGAGCCCCCAGCTGCAGCCTGGGGAGGGGTCAGTCTATGTGGGCTGTAGCAGCAGCTGCTGTGGAGACAACTGAGCCGTATAATCAGGTCACGTGAGCTCTGGGCCTCCCATCTGGGCTCCAGACTCCCCTCCAGCCAGACCCAAGAGCCTTTGCAGGAAGGGCACCTGGCTCCTCCATGTCCAGCCTGGATGGGGCTGCTGTACCTTTTAGCTGGGTAAGGGGTATGTTTTAGGGTATATTTAAGCTCGAGCACACTCAGATGTTGAATCGTGAAAAGGTTGGAAGCTCTCAAGTTTGGGTCATTGGCTGTTCTTTCGAAGGATGCTGTCATCAGAGACTTCCGGACTCAGAGGTTTTAATCAGTGGATATTGAGATCATAGTTTTAGAACTGCAGATGCGGAAGGGGACCTCAGAGGTCACCAGCCAACCCCTTCTCTAATGACTTGCTGGGTCTCCTCCTGAGGAGGGCCTGGGCCTTGTCTGGCTTAGGCTGAAATCAGGGGCCTGGCAATATGCCATAGTCACAGGAGCTCAATAAACACAGCCGACTTGAATGGCAAGCCAAGACATCGCATCGATGGACTTTTATTTCCAACCCAAGAGACAGAGCTTACTGGTGTGGATGGAGCTGGCTGGCTGGGCTCAGCCTCTCACCAGCTCAGGTAGTTCACCTTTCTGAGCCTGTGTCCTCCTCGGTAGCTTGAGAATAGCAGCATCTACCTGATAGGTTGTGAGGGTTAAATAAATGAATTTGTAAAATACTTAGGACAGTGCCTGGCCCTGCTTATTATTCAGCCTGCAAAGTCAGTAATGGAAAGACCATTTAACCCTCACTCCTGCCTCAGTTGCCCCCTAAATGTGTCCTGCAGCCTCTGGGGTCAGTGGCACTTGTTGTCACGCACTTCAGCACATCTTCCAGTGAGGTTGGTATCATGTGGTTTTATTTATTTATTTTAAAATTAATTAATTAAGTTTTGGCTGTGTTGGGTCTTCGTTGCTGCACGTGGGCTTTCTCTAGTTGGGGCGAGCGGGGGCTACTCTTCGTGGCGGTACACGGGCCTCTCACCGCGGTGGCTTCTCTTGTTGCGGAGCACGGCCTCTAGGCGCGCCGGCTTCAGTAGTTGTGGCACGTGGGCTCAGTAGTTGTGGCGCACGGGCTTAGTTGCTCCACGGCATGTGGGATCTTCCCGGATCAGGGCTCGAACCCGTGTGCCCTGCATCGGCAGGGGGATTCTTAACCACTGCGCCACGAGGGAAGCCCTCGTGTGGTTTTATAGGTGAGCAGACCCAGGCTCCTGGCCCAGGTCCCTAGCCAGCTAAGTGGTAGAGGCCAAGTTAGAAAGCAGATCTGACAGGCTCCAAAGCATCCACGTGCTCTCCTGCTGTACCAGATGGCACTGCCTTAAGACTCTAGAAATGCTGGTCCCTGCCCCCCCCCCCCGATCCCCCCTGCCTTAATCCCTGCGGCTGCTTTGGGGGGCCCAGAAGCTTCATTGCAGATTGTCTGCCAAAACCCGCAATGGTCTGGGAAACGTCCGCTGCTGAAGCTCCAGCAGGATGTGGGCAGGGAGGCCAGTGGCCGGCGCTGAGGCGGTGGTAGCAGGGGTCAGCTGTGGGGCCTCGGGACTGAACAGGAACATCCCACTTCAGACACTTGAGAAATTGTTTGTGGCCGTATCACTGCTGCCCTCCAAGGAGAGACTTCTGCCCAGAGCAGCTAGGCATGTGCTGTCACTTCTGGGGCTCCGAAAACTTCCTTGCCTCCTCCTCCAGCCAAAAAGGCTTACTGGGGAACCCCAAGTGGGGCTGAGGCACGGGGGCTCCACCGCAATCCTGACAGCCCCGGAGGGCGTGTGCCCTTAACCCTGGCCCCAGAAGACAGCAGCTGACGGGGGTGGGGGTGGGGGTGCGATGTGCAGTCAGGGTGGCCACCTCATAGGACTGCTGGTCACATCTGGGCCCTAACATATGCCCTCAGGCACTTTATAAACTCCCTGAGCCTCAGTTTCCCATTTTCACGGGGCAGCTGGAGGGGGGAGCTGCGTGCTGCCGGCCTAGCGCGGCGCTGGGCTAGGGCCGGCTCCCCTCTTATCTGCCTTGCTGGGCCCGTGTCCCCACCAGGAGGCCCGTGGAGAATGGGGGCAGGGGCATCAAGGGGACTGCAGAGACAGGCTCCCCAGGCGAGCGGTGGCTTCTGTTTCTCTTGGCTGCTATGAACAGACGAGCCCAGTGTGCTGTGGTTATTTAAAAAAAAAAAAAAAAAAAAAAAGAGCTGCTGCCTGCAGCCGCACAAATAGAAGTGGAAGTGTGCCTTCAAGGCCTGGGAAGTCCCACTGCTCCTGGCGTGGGCGGGGGTGGGGATGACCCTTGCAGAGACAGAGAACACTCCCGCGTGTACCCCCTTCCAGCCTGAGGTCTCCAGGGGCTCTGGACCTGTGTCTGGATTGACACGCAGTATTTGGGGGATGCCTCCTCCAGGTGGTGAAAGCAAAGGGTCCCCTCCTCTGATCAGACACCCCCTCTAGCCCCTTAAGACAGATGCGGGCTCCTGCAGCAGCTCCCGCGTGCATCTCCCTCCCAGCTCTCGGTGGTCATGCTCCTGGCTCAAGGTCCAGTGTCAGGCCGTGAGCTCTGAGGACAGGGCTGTGCCTGGCACAGGTGCTGCTCAAGAGGCGCTTGCAGGACAGACAGGCAGACAGCTGGATGGGTGGCCTAGGAACAGGGAAAGGTGGTCAGAAAGACTGAAGGGATCTCCCTGTCCCTGTGACATCTGGGTCACTCCAAGCCAACTGGGGGACCCTTTTGCCCAAGGACTCTTCAGAAGGCCTCTGAAGGGCCTTACAGCTCACTGGGTCCCTCCCACCTTTTCAAACAAGGAACCTAAAGGCCAGAGAAGGAAGCACCTTGTTCAAAGTCTCACAGCAAGCCAGAGACCCCACTGGAAGAGGCCCAGGCTCCCAGCCAGCAGTCACAGGCTCACCAACCTGTAGGGTGCGCGCTCCTAAGGTTGCTACTGGGACCCCAGGGGGACGCCACAGGGAACAGGGTTTTGTTTCATTTAAAGGAAGAAGCTTTTCCAACAAGAGATTATCTTTCGGAGACTCACTAGGGTTTAGGCAGAGCCCTGCCTGGCGGGCAGGGAGGGGAACAGGAAGGAGGCCACGTGACTGAGGTCAGGGTGTCTGGGAGCCTGGATGCAGGATGGTGGTCGCACTGTAGGGGCAGTGGGGAACTGGATATGCTGGCTCTGAGGCCTTGCTCCCTCTCCTGTGCCCTCGACAGCACGGCCCACGTCGAGAAGCTCTTGCCCCGCACTTCCAAGGGTCAGCCTGGCACAGAGAAGGGCCTTCATTTGCAGAACTGAAAAGAGCACACAGGCTAGGCTGGCCTCCAGCACTTCTCAATGGCATCTATGTAAAGGTGTTCAGCGCCCAAGTTCACACTGCGAAAAACTAGATTAGACAAAGGGAAATTGATGTCTTAAATGCAGAACTTCCACCGTCTGCTAGAGAAAGGGCGGGCAGCCTTCCCCAGATGTCTGTGAGCAGGAACCCTCCCCAGCAGAGCGCAGAGGGCACGGAGGGCGGGCTCCCCACCACAGAGCAAGCCCTGGACTAGCTCCTTCTGGCTCTGCTCCGTGCTGGTTGGCTCCCTCACCTGCTAGCCTCTAAGCCACTCCCCAGCCTCCCAGTTAGAGAAACACTGATAACCCAGTGGGGACGTGCAGGGTCCGTGGGCCTCTCCGGAAACAAGCTGCAGCTGGCACCCTGCTCCCTGGGAGTAGCCTCTGGGGAGAAGGAGCAGCTGAGGCGCGGGCCTCGGGTGGTGCTGCACCGCAGCTGTGTTTTGAGGGCTGAGTGCAGCAAGAGGAAGTTGTGAGTGGCCAGGGGCCTCCCCCTCAGTGTCTGCAGCAGCTGGGGCTCCTGGCAGGCCCGAGCAGCCACTCGCTTCCAGCCGGGACGGCTCTGCGCCCACCACAGCCCTGGGTCCTCTCTGGTGACTCAGCAGTGGCCACAGGCCCCTGAGCTGGGCCTCTTCCGGTACAGGGACTGGGAGTGGTGAGCAGAGGAACCGTGGCCTGATCTCCAAGGAGAGGCAGAGGGGTCTGCGGGGCAGCCCCGGGGTCCTCCCACTCTTGGACCCCTCCTGACTCCCTCTACCTCAGAAGGACCACGAGAGCTGCTGGTCAGGAAAAAGGACGTTTTATTTCCATAAATACTCCTGCTCTCACTCACACACTGACCCCACTTCTGCCCATGGACAGACGGATGGACAAAGCCCAATGAATGAAAGAGACACACTGAGAACTCCAGTGCAGGACCTCCCTTGGCCAGGGGCCTGGGAGCCCCCAGCTGGGGCCACCTGTCTCTCCCACAGTCCCCCCGGAGGCCTGACAGCAAAGGGGCCAGGAGAGTGGAGTGAGACCCCCCAGGAGGAGTGGGGGAGAGGTGGGGCTCCCCTCACTGGGCCCCCTGAGACGGTGACCACAGGGCCACGCAGAGAGAAAAGCTAAGAGAGTCAAACCACACACCCGAGAGTGCAGAGCTGGGGGTGCAGGCGTCATGCCCCCCAGTCACCCGGTTCCTATGGAGGAGGCCTGAGCTGGTCCCGGCTCCAGCACGGCCCCAAGTTATGGCTGGGCCTTCCCATAAGGCATAAGAGACAGGCGGGGATGACCCCCCTCCCCAGGCTGGGGTCCGGGCTGGGCCTGAGGTCCTGGCCCTTGCCCGACAGCCATGCTTCCCCCCACGACTCCAAGTCCTTCGAGGCCCGTGTGCAGCACCTCCCTGCTCCAGCTTCCCACCTGTGATGACGGTCCCCACCAGTGCAAACCGAAGCCTGGCCTCCTGCGGGGTTTGGCTCAGCAGGGGAGAGGGCAAGGAAGGAGGGGGCCGCAGGGGGGAGGGGAGAAGCACCAGACCCGGGGAATATGGCCGTGGGAACCCAGGCTCAGTGGTGGCCAGTCCCGCTGCCCCCCCTCCCCAGCCCCTCTCTGTTCTAGAGGCTCCCCCAGGTCTCCGGTGGGGGGAACTGGTCCACGTCCCCCATCTCGTTGTAGGTCTGGTCGCCCATGGTGTACAGCAGCTTGTAGCGGAGACGAACCTTCTCCTGAGGCAGACATGGTGAAGGCAGAAGGGTCGGACGGGGAAAAGAGGCTGCCCCACCCCACAGCGGTGCCCTGGCACAGCCAGGCCCCTCACCTTCTGGGGGTTGGCAAGGAGCAGGACCTGGGTGATGGCTGAGGGGTGGACGATGGGGTTAAATGCTGGCAGCTCTGTGCCTGAGGGCGGCTGCAGCTTCACCTTCATGATCTGTGGACAGGAGGGCAGGATGGGCACAGCTAGCCCTGGCTTCTCGTCCCCGGTCCCTGGGGAACAAGGCCCAGCCTCCTGCCAGCTCCTCCTCTGGGGGCCCTTCTACCCCCAACTCCCCAGGAAGAGAGAGACAGAGACGTGGAGACAGAGACCCTACCCCTGCCCTGGAGAGCTGGCTCCCCATCCAGCCCCAGGTCACCCTGCCTTGAGGAGGGGGGGTCTGCCCATTGTCACCTTGGGGACAGCTGACTGGAAAACAATGTTGCGGATGGGCTGGGGGGCAGTGCTCAGCATGGAAACCACCACCACCAGCACATCGGAGCGCCCGGGCAGTGGGTCTCGGGCGAAGTGGAAGAGGACCCGGAAGCCATGTTGGTCATACACGGTCACCGGCAAGATGCTGCCTGGCAGAGGAGAAGGGGAGAGGGCGATGGCGGGGGCGGGGGCTGGGTGCCAAGCCTGAGCCCAAGCACATCCGACCAGCTCCCCGCACCCGGCTGACCCCGGGCACTCGCTGCTCTGCTGGGGATGAAATGAACAGACCCAGACCCACGCTGTCGCCTTGACCCTGGGCAGCAGTGCAGTCAGGGGTACAGTCTGGGGCGCAGACAGGCAGGTGGACTTCTAGCGTGATGGTGAAGGCAGAATGCCCACCCTGGAACTGAGTCCCAACCAGGCTCCCGAAGTGTCAGGCGGCTGCTCCCAGAGTGCTCGAGTGAAGGGCTGTGCCTGAGCTTCACTCATGCTCTCACTGTGTGACCCTGGAACAGCCACTCTGCTTCTCTGAGCTCAGGGTCCTCCACACTGCTAAGACGGTGGCACCACTACCTAGCTCCTGGGGACACCAAGGGGGTGACACCCTCGTCACGGTGAGCTCACAAGATGGACAGCGCCGAGGCTAGCCCGTCTTCATCAGCCTGCTCACAGCCTGGTGCCGTGAGCGGCACTTTTGCTCCCGGGCAGAAGCCTAGGCTTGGACCTCAATCTTTATCCTGTTTTGGTTTTATGATCTTGGAGAGTCCCACAGACCTCCCCTGTCCTGGCCCTGCCTTCCCGGGGATGGGCGCAGGGGCCATCCATGAGAAGTCCTCTTGCCTGGGTCACCCTGGAGTTTAGAACGCAGTATTGTGATACTCTGGGACCAGTGAGAAAACTGAGTCCTGGCAAGAGGAAGGGTGTTGCCCAGAGGCCCCGCTGAGTCGGGCAGGGCTGAGAGGGGAGCCCTGCCTTCCCACCGGCTGCCCCAGATCCAGCTCCTGACAGCAGGCAAGGTGGGTGGGGCCGCGAGCTGACCCAGCCCAGCCGGTACCCGCTGTGCCCCCACCCTACTCACTGGGTTTGATGGACTCCAGAGGCACAGTGATGTTGGCCAGTGAGAGCTCCGTCGGTGTGGGCTGCTGCAGGGGCCCAGGGGGCTCGGGGGACACGGTGTGGAGGAGGCTGGTGGCGCTGGAGCTGGACAAGCTGCAGCTGCTTTTATTCTGCAGGTCCCGGAGTGTGAGCCGGGGGGCTGGCTGCTGCTTCTCCCTTATTGGAGGGCGGTGCATTGAGAGGTGAAGCTTTAGTGGCCAAGAGACGAGGGGCACAGGAAAGGCTGGGCTTCCCGGCTGTCCCTGATGGCTGGCTGATGCCCCCGTCTCTCTGGCCTTGGTCTCCTCACCTTGGAGCGGGCAGCTCTTGCTCACCCCACCCACTCGGGGTCAATGCCCTCGTCCCTGGCAGCCCTCTGGGCCTTCAGTCTTTGTCAGGTGCTGGCAGGCCAGGCCTAGGGGAGGGCGTGAGTGGGGCACGGTCCCCTATCTCTCATACCCTCCACGCCCTGTTGGATGGGCCCTGCACCTGCTGTGGTCACTGCTGTGTCCCTCGAGCCCAGGACAGCACTTGGCACACGGTGGTGCTCTGGCAGTGCTGCTCATGGGGACAAAGCAGCACCGGGCCTCTCCCTGATGGGCCTGGGGCAGGGGCAGGGGCCGGGCAGGGCGTGCCCTCACCACCGCACTTGCTGGGACTCTGGGGGCAGCGACTGCTGCAGGAGGGTCTTCCCCAGGAGGTCCAAGTCATCCAGGCCACTACTCGTGGGCAGGGATGTCTGCGCCGGGGGCCGACTGTCCACGTTGGGGGCCGGAGTAGGGTGGGGGGGCTCCGTGCCATCAGACGACTGTTGGGCATACAAAGGATGCGGGTGGGTGAGGCTGTGCTGAGAAGGTGTCAGGTCACCTGGCACTGCCCTGAGGCCCCTGCCCCTCCCGGCAGGAGACATCTGGGGAAGCAGCAGCAGGGGTGTGGACAACATTCCCGCCGGCCTGCGCCCCTCTCACCCCAGGGCCATCGGTGGGCCAGGCCTGGTCTGGGATTCTACTCAAGAAACCATCCCGTTCCAGGGACCTCGGAGTCACCCTCAAGAGAAAAGGAACGGGGAACCCCCATCTCAACCCAAGAGAAACCCAAGGCTGAGACATGCAGGGAAAAGCGCTGTGAGGGGAGCCCGTCCACCTTCCTCCATCCTGGGATGGGTGCCTCCACCCCCGGGGCCACCCCTTCCCCCAGCCCTCCTGCCCACCTGTCCCTTCACTGCCCCTCAGGCTGCCTGTCCCAGCTGCTCTGACCCTGGGATGGGCCCCTCCTACCTGGAAGCTGTTCCACGCAGCACCATCCAATCCTGGGCCTGAAGCGGGTGTGGGGTCGCTTAGGCCTGCAGGGAAACAAGACTGAGGTAAAGCGGCTGGATTCGTGATCAGAGGCAACAGAGCCGGAGTGACTATGTGCCGAGTCAGGGTTCCCTGACTGCTACCCTCCCCCTGCACCCCCTCCTCCGAGAGGCTCAGCTTGAAGGGGACATGCCCCCTCCCCCCCCGAGAGGGAACCAGCTGCAGAGCAGAAGCAGAAACCAAAGACCCCAAGAGCTCATTCCCTGGGCCCAAACATGCTTCCTCTCTTGCCACTCAGAAGGCAACTCAACTACTGAGGTCAGGACTTTAACCTTCATTCATTATCGGGCAGCTGGGGGCGGGGGGGGG